CAGTAAGTAATTAAAGAAATGTCGAGTGAGGTATGATATCATTTTTAAAATTAAAGGTGCCAAAAGTCTGTTTCAGAACATTTCAATGGATGGTTCTTTAAACTAGTATTCAAGCATTTTTTTTCCTAATTTCTGTCACAGCTGCAGCGTGAAATAAATTACATTGGATAATAATGTAGATGCTGTTCCCTGTACTTAAAAGAACTTACTGGTGTATTGGCTCCTATTGACTTCTATTGTGAGAGCACTTTAAGTCAGTGGGTTTTGGTTCTTACTGCATTAAATACCAAAAAAGTTGGGACGCTGTGCAAAATGTAAATAAAAACAAAATGCAATGATGTGCAAATAATTCAAACCCTATATTCCATTGAAAATAGTACAAAGACAACATATCAAATGTTGAAACTGAGAATTTTATTGTTTTTTTTAATATAATATTGTATCTTGAATTTAATGACAGCAATACATTCCAAAAACGTTTGCTAAAGACTGGTAAAGTTGTGCAATGCTAAAAAAACACCTGGTGGTTAATTGGCAACAAGTCAGTAACATGATTGGGTATAAAGAGCATCTCAGAGAGGCGGAGTCTTTCAGAAGTAAAGAGGAGGGGTTCACCACTCTGTGAAAGACTGCACCATCAAATAATGCAACAATTCAAGAATAACGTTTCTCAACATAAAATAGCAAAGAACTTCTGCTTTTCATCATCTACGGTACATAATATCATTAAAAGATTCAGAGAATCTGGAGAAATCTCTGTATGTGAGGGACAAGGCCAAAAACCAGTATTTGCTGGCCGTGATCTTTGGGCCCTCAGGCAGCACTGCATTAAAAACAGACATGATTCTGTAGTGGAAATCACTGCATGGGCTCAGAAACACTTCTGAAAACCACTGTCTGTGAACACAGTTCATCACTGCATCCACAAATGCAAGTGAAAACGTATATCAACAGGATCCAGAAATGCTGCCACCTTCTCTAAAATGGACTGAGAGGAAGTGGAAAAGTGTCCTGTGGTCTGACAAATCAAAATGTGAAATTCATTTTGGAAATCATGGACACTCCGGGCTAAAGACCACCCAGCTTCTTATCAATGCACAGTTCAAAAGCTAGTTTTCATGATGGTATAGGGGGTGAATTAGTGCACATGGGATGGGTGACGTGCACATCTGTGAAGGCACCATTAATGCTGAACGATATATACATGCTTTGGCCACATATGCTGCCATTCAGATGTTGTCTTTTTCAGGGAAGGCCTTGATTATTTCAGCAAGACAACGTCAAACCACATTCTGCATGTATTACAACAGCATCGCTCCATATTAAAAGAGTCTGGGCGCTAAACTGACCTGCCTGCATTCCAGACCTGTCACCACTGAAAACATTTGGCACATTGTGAAATTAAAAATATAACAAAGGAGACCCTGAACTGTGGAGCAGCTCAAATCCTGTATCAAACAAGAACAGGAAAAACATTTCACTTTCTAAACTACAGCAGTGTCTCCTCAGTTCCCAAACGCTTACAGAGTGTTGTTAAATGAAGAGGTGATGAAACACAGTGGTAAACAGGCCCCCGTCCCAACTTTTTTGAACGTGTTGTTGGCATCAAATTCAAAATGGGCAAATATTTTTCAAAAAGCAATAAAATTTCAGTTTCAACATTTGATTTGTTGTCTTTGTAGTACTTTTCCTTTAGAATTACAGTTTAAATGATTTGCACATCATTGCATTCTATTTTCATTTACATTCTGCACAGCGTCCCAACTTTTTTGGAAATGGGGTTGTAGAAGGACCATGATATAAATTACCATTTATGGTTTGATTTTGGGTTGATTGGGATGAAAAACAGTGGAGTATTCCCATAGCAAGCAATATACTAATAAAAACAGAAAGCAGTGATGAGTAAATTCTGTTTGACCTGCATTATTGATGTTTTACCTTACAAACTTCATTGTTTTTTGTAAATATACACTCATTGTAAGTTTGATAACTGCAACATGTTCCAAAATAAGTTGGGAAGGAGCATGTTTATCACTGTGGTACATCACCTTCCCTTTTAACAGCACTTAAAATTGTTTGGGGACTGAAGACACAAACCAGTGCAGTTTTGAAACCATTATTGTTTTTTGCCGACCTTCTGTTCCTCAAGTCTTTCGCCGCGCAATCATACAGGGCTGCTTTTGTCATATTCTGAGCTTAATAAGACACATTTTCAAAGGGAGACAGTTCTAGACTGCAGGCAGGGCAGTCGAGCACCTGCACCCTCTGATACATGAAGCCACATAAATGTCTTATGTCATAAATGTCTTATCTAAATTGAGTTGATTTCCAATTCACCAGCTGAAATGCCACTAGGGGGCTGGCAGAAAGAGGTTAAAGAACCATCCATTGAAAAGTTCTTAAAGAAACTATAAACATATTTATAACATGTTATAATGTATTCGTAAGGCATTATAAACATGGTTATAAATATTTATAAAAAAGGATTATACTGAATTACACTTTATAGCCATGTTTATTATACATTATGAATTGTTAATATAATGCATTATAAATAGTGTTAATAACATGTTATAATGTCAGTGCCAAAGAAGTCAGTCCCAGCTTGGAGAGCGTAAAGTAAAGACAAATACCAAGCTAACGGTGGTGTACATTACCTTTCCCACATTGGGTAAAACACTGAGGGCAGCTCTAGTTTAAACTCTGACATTTGAAGCCTGTAATGTGCTTTACTGTGAATGTTTTAGTGTTTCAGTAAATCCTTCAGTAAATACTTCAACTTGAAGCCTCACTCTGAACACTGGAGGAGGCTTTAGTACAGTACGCTTCACTTTACTTAGAGCGGACAAATACGACTTATGAGCTCTTATAATTTGTTATGAACAGTACTTATAATGTATTATGTTAACAATTCATAATGCATGATGCTTACAAAGGTGACATTCATAGAAAGTGTTACCGAAACCTTTAGGAAAAAGTATTTCATCACTTCAAAAAAGACTTTTGACACCTTTGTTTTTAAGAGTGATGAATATATATATATAATGTGGAGAAAATGTGCTCACTTCAAAAAGGCAAAATGATTATTATTGATAGATTATCAGTATAACCAGTAAATACTAACCTATAGTTATCAGTATAACCAGTAAATACTAACATATAATTATCAGTATAACCAGTAAATACTAACATATAATTATCAGTATAACCAGTAAGTACTAACCTATAATTATCAGTATAACCAGTAAGTACTAACCTATAACTAATGACCGAAGCAGAGCAACAGCCTTGGGTTAAGCGAGGCTGTCTGATTTGAGCAGAAACCCAAAGTGCATACAGGTCCTTGGATCACCTTTTAACTTTTTAACCAATGATCTGTAAACCTAATTAAAGAAATGTTCACAATAACAGAGTTGAAGCCAGCTGCAAAACACCACGGCGAAAAACTCAAACAATACGTTTTCAGTTTAATCAGCTCCTGTGGGAGCCATCAGTGCGTGACACTTTAATCACACATAGCTTTTTTTCTGGCCAGGTGTGCAGCGAAGCATGCGCACCCAGCTGTCCGCCGAACAGTGATCTCAATCGTTCTTCTCTGTTCAGATCAAGATAAAGCGCGAAACCCTTTTGTCGTAAGGATAATGTCGAACATTATCTATGCATAACATAAAACACTCTATATGGTCGTGTCTGGCCTGCTTCGGTCTTCTAATACCGACGATCTTTCTGTTCCTGTGCTCTGAAAGGCAAACAAATGTATCAGTGAATATGCATGAAATTTATTGAAATATAAAGCTGCTGACTTTGTCTCTGGGTTTTTTAAAGGGGCCCATATAAGGCAAAACCAAATTTTAGAGTCGGATGCATTATGTGATGTAACAACCACGGAAACATGGCAGTTTACTCTGCTGATTCATGACGTAATGAAATAAGGAGTATTGTTAGTGTTATAATTGGTTGGTGGACAGCACTGCTGTGTCTGATCCACTCGTACCAGCGCAACACACACTAACACACCACCAGCACGTCAGTGTTACTGCAGTGCTGAGAATGATCCACCACCCAAATAAGGCCTGCTCTGTGGTCCCTGTGGGGGTCCTGAGCACTGAAGAACAGGGTAAAAGGGGTAAAAAGAAACAGATGGACTACAGTCTGTAACTGTAGAACTACAAAGTGCACCTATATGGTCAGTGAAGCTGATAAACTGGATTATGAGTGTAGATACAAAGAGGTGCACTCAAAGAAGGCTTGTCAGTATAGTTTGCTCTTATTAAAGATATATGTGCAAGATATGTAATGCTAAATAAATTCAACTGTGCCATTTTTGAATACTTGAATTCATGCCAATATATGCACAGATATGTCAGTGTAATTTATGTATATTAGTGACCAGTGTTTAATAATTACACAAATGTCAAACATATATGGAAATATATGACAAACCTAAACCATATTTTCGAAAAATACATGGGAATATATTTCCTTTGCATATGGGAAATGATTCATGCGAAATGAGTGGCTGTTGTTTTTTTTACGATGTCCCTAAAAATTACAATCCAAAAGTAACAGTTCATTTCAGACCAGTGTGTTTTGGAACAAGATGAACTAATTTCTTTTAGCTAATCAGAACAGAGATCATTTACATAAGTCCTAAAGGCCCAGTAATGACAGCAGCCTGGTTTTAACATTTGGGATGTTTGAAAATGGTCATTTAAAAATGAATTATGCCGTTTTTGGTGTATAAAACCACCCAAAATGTAGAATGTGGGCTGTTTCATTTTCATCCAGTGTCTGAAAAGCTCAGGATCACACAAAATGTTTACCCTGAGACTTTCCCCCCAGCGCAGAGCACTAATCTCAATCATGGCGCATCCCAGTCGATTTCTGGCTGAGGGATCAAGGAGAGCAATCGACTGTTGATCTTGTGTGTGTCGAATAAAACAGACTCCATAAGCACGCTCTCTGACTGGCATGTTTTTTTCTTCCCCTCCGTTGCCCAGATGGAGACGAGAAAGAGGCTGGCGAAGATCGTGCTGGTGTTCGTGGGCCTGTTCGCGCTGTGCTGGTTCCCCAACCATGTGCTGTACATGTACCGCTCTTTCAACTACCGGCAGATCGACTCCTCACTCTTGCACCTCATCATCACGCTGTTGGCACGAGTTCTCAGCTTCTCCAGCTCCTGCGTCAACCCCTTCGCCCTCTACCTGCTGAGCGAGAGCTTCCGCCGACACTTCAACAGCCAGCTGACCTGCCGGAGGCGCCAGTACCAGGAACGGAGCTCCAGCTACCTCCAGAGCACCTCGGCCATCCGCATGACCTCCATCAAGAAGAGCAACCCCACCTTGGCCAACGGACAAGGCCACAAACCTGGAGTTTACATCTAGCTCTGGGCTTGAAGATGAAGCTGGGGAGCTGGTAAATCGGATATCATTTTGGCCTGCATTGCTGTGGAGACTGGTATCTCTCAGACGACTAAATGTCTATACCTGTTTACCACCTCTACCAACTGTAAAAGCAACTGATTGGCCAAAAATCAAATTTGTATATTTTTACCTTTACCCTGAGTTTAACAATCAGCCAGGATATGTTTGATATCCAATGTTTGCTTATTTAGCTTTGCATTGGAGCGACACAGTTAATGAAGCTGGGTCATTCTACAGAAACGTCCATTTTTGTGTCCCTAGCATTTACAGATATAACACTTCAAAAACATGTTAGAGTTACAATTTATTCATATTTTAAAATAAAACAATTAGTTATTTTAACAGTTACACCTTCTTGAGCCTCAATTTAGCAACATTGTTTTTTAAATCAATCATATAGAATTCCAAGCACCACAGAAGAGCTCGTCCCCACAGTCATGTGTAAAGGCTGAGGCCATATTTTGAGGTAAAAAACATGTTTTTCTGTAGTTTTAACTGCAATAATCTATACATGACTATGAAACATATGAAATAAATGACATTAAGAAAACAAATAAATATTATAAAATATATAATGAAAGTTGTCCCCAGGAGTCGTGTCACTGGTGTTACTGCGTAAAAAAAATCTCTTATTTTGAAATAAAAGTCACACTGATCACATCACTCGACTTCCTTTCACCTGTTTTCTGAGGATCTATGAAGAAAAGCTCATGGTGAGTCCACTGTGTCTTTCAGTTATCAGAGATTTTCTCATTCAGCTCATGATTTCATATGAAGCTTTTAGCTGAAGTCACTGGTGTGTCCGACTTTATTCTTGGATAATTGTGAAAAAATAGAATACAAATGGATTAAATTACATATTTTAGTGGATATTCTATGATCGACAACATGTGGTTTGATGCTCTGTAGCAGTTATTTTGTAAAATGTATTTTTCATTAAAAATGTCTCTGGTGTTCCTTTATTATGTGTAACACCAATGAGGATCAGTAACACCAGTGACTCCAATGACCCAGCTAAGAAGTAATGAAACCCTGTTAATGCCTGGTTAGCATAAAACTTTATGCAGAATCATGACCTATGTGGCTCAAAGCTTAAGTAATCTCAAACAGACTTACTTGTGTGTTTTCTGACACCGTATGAAATATGGTTATCTATAAAAATGGACAAAAATATGTCGCCTTGATGAAAACAGTAGTAGCCCTGCTGGAAAAACCAGCATAGACCAGCACAGATGGTCACGAGAAAGACCAGCATGTGTTGTGTTTTGGACACTGGTATGCTCATTAACCTGCATGACCATGCTGAGTGACCAGCTAAACCAGCACAAGACTAGTACCAGACCATCATAAACTAGCTTAGGCCAGCAGTAATGCTAGCATGATGCTAATTAGTGAGCATGATCTTTCGATTACCTGCTAAATTCGCCTCAAATCTCCAGTGCAAAACTAAAGAAGCAAACATGTCTCGTCTGGCTACATTTGAGCTTAGAAGAAAACAATGTAAATTAAATTTTTCACTGGACTAGTACTTTAGGAGTAAGAGGTGCACGGCCACATTTAATGCAGTATGACTCAGTTGAAGTTTATGCATTTTTGCCTACAGAAGTCAACCTTCAGCTAACAAGGTCACCATGTAAAGACGGTAAAGCATTCATAATGCCACATTCATGCTCATGGAGCTCTGTAAGTGGCCACAGCGGATCAGTGGACACCAAGCACATCTTTCCCCCTTTAATTGCTGTAGTGTTGTTATCTCATGTGAGTTTGGTTCCCTGTGTTGCATATCGCTGTTGTCGGAAGAAAACCTCGTATCTCCGAAAAGAAAACTTTACAGGAGGAGGAAAAAACCTGCTCTACTTTTAATGTAAGTCAATGGAACCAGACTTTTTTCCAAGCAATTTTGGGATGTTTCTTTTGGTCCATTCTTCATGAAATTCACAAGCAATTTAAAGGGCAACGTGCATTTTCAAATTATGTCAAAAACTGAAAAACGACAAAAATGGACATACGAGGTTTTCTTCCGACAGCAGCGATATGCTAGTACGTTCTGTAAGGTTTTAACACTTGATATCAATGATGAAGCCACTGACATCAAAATTGCTTTAGTGTAACATCCCATTAAACCCTAAACTCTATAGGTATATGCTTAGTTCAGTGGTATGGCAGGGGTGGCACCGGCCCTCCCAAAGAAATCTGACTGGCCACCACAGGTGCTTCTCCAATGAAGCTGGTAGCTGATAGGTTGATATGGTCAATCCTGTGTAGGGCTGGGTATCGTCTGTTTTTCTTTTGTTTGTTTATTTTTTTGGCCAAATTGCATGACTTTACAGAAACCATAAGTGACACAGTGCTGCCTGCAAAGTGAAAGAAGCTGCTTTTCACGAAAGTAGATCCTTCCAGCAGTATTTTAAAAATGCTTCAAGTGACATGATGTTCGAGATGAGCGGAAAAAAGGGACTTGCATTTGCATTTGACACAGCTGCCTTGGAGGAACTGTGTGAAATGCACAGCATAATCCCACAGCATAAACAACAGTCTATCCACATTATGTGAAAGGGACTGGCAGGTGGAGGTGAGGGGATACCACGAGAACGGATCCCCATGCTCAGTGAAAATGAGAAATGTCAACTTAGATGTTTTAGAAATCCCAGTGACAGAGTAAGTGAGTAAAGTTTAAACATAAAATAATTAAAAATCATTATTTAATTATTTTACATTTATTCATAAAGGTACTTATCCAGTGTTTACGTGTGTTTACCCTCCACTACATCCCTGTTCATGCTGTATAGACATTTGTGAATGCTTATGAGAAGCATACGAACTGCTAACGCAGCACAGCCTGTGGGTATCTACATTGCCTAGCATTCATAAATACCTATATATGATATATGTGTTATACATGCTTTATGAAGTGCTCGAAGCAGGGACCCTGAACTAAGCGTAAGCTTGCTCTTCTCATGGATGTTCACAAGATAAGGTAAAATGGACAAGTGAATAGAAAGTTCATTCAAACTGAAAGTTGGGTGTGGCCATAAATAGACAGGAATATTTTTGTAAATATTACATTCTTGCATCTTCTTCAGTAATATAGCATACTTTCCTTTAAATGCTTGGCTAAAATATGAGAAAAAGGACTCTAAGCGCCCTCATCCCTTCCACGCTCTAATCTCAAATGGATGTTTCAGTGAATATCATTCCGGACCAGAACTAATCCTTGTTCTCCGCAAATTCATTGTCTGCTTCTATGGAGCGTCCACGCCTTTTGTGTTTCCGTTCTATTAGTCTAAATCTGTATTTTTTTCCTGGTTGTTTTTTGCTCTTCAGAATAAGTGCATGGACGCTTCTATTTCCAGTCATGTCAAGTGCACTTAATATGATGATTGAAGTGTTCAAGGTGCATCAAGCGAGTGCAGTGCAATGTCTTAATGAGATCAGAAAGCTGACAGATAGATCTCTTCAAATCACTTTACATCAAGGGCGAAGTACATCACAGAGGGAAATGACATAAAAGTAGATTATCGGAGATGATTACTTGGAAAGTTTGTGCTGCTAAACATGCAAATTTGGTCTGACGGGTGTGTATGGGGGGGTGGGGGTTATTTTCTGGCAACCTGTGGCCTACATAAAGAAATTCATATGTAAAACTAGATGAAGTAGCCTGTTATGATATTGCTTAATGCTCTGTACACCGATCAGGCATAACATTATGACCACTCCTGTTTCTACACTCATTGTCCATTTTATCAGCTCCACTTACTATATAGGTGCACTTTGTAGTTCTACAGTTACAGACTGTAGTCCATCTGTTTCTCTGATACTTTGTTAGTCCCCTTTTACCCTGTTCTTCAGTGGTCAGGACCCCCATGGACCCTCACAGAGCAGGTACTATTTGGGTGGTGGATCATTCTCAGCACTGCAGTAACACTGATGTGGTGGTGGTGTTTGTGTGTGCTGTGCTGGTCTGAGTGGATCAGACACAGCAGTGCTGCTGGACTTTTTGAACACTGTGTCCACTCACTGTCCACTCTATTAGACACTCCTACCTTGTCGGTCCACCTTGTAGATGTAAAGTCAGAGACGATAGCTCATCTGCCGCTGCACAGTTTGTGTTGGTCATCATCTAGTCCTTCATCAGTGGTCACAGGACGCTGCCCACAGGACACTGTTGGCTGGATATTTTTGGTTGGTGGACTCTTCTCAGTCCAGCAGTGACACTGAGGTGTTTAAAAACTCCAGCAGCACTGCTGTGTCTGATCCACTCAGACCAGCGCAACACACACTAACACACCACCATCACATCAGTGTTACTGCAGTGTTACCTTCTATAACAGTGAAGGAGCCCCTGCCATCAAAGCTGAACTTGGTGGGTCCCCTCAATTCAAATACTTCTTTCAAAACACATCCAGGTCTTCATTAAGGTTATTTCCTCACATAAAATCTGAAAATTCTGGAAAACTAGGACCCACAAGGTGAACAGCGTCGTTTCTAAGCTTTCATCATGTTCAACATTAGACTCCTCCCTCTGGATAAACTGTAAACCCGTCCAGCCAGAATTCATGAAGTTACCTACAATCTAGAGCACCAAGCCGCATCACTCTGGTTTAAGACTGGAGAAGTTAAAGCTGGAGCGTTTTTTAAAACTGCCAAGAAACTTTAGGTACTTTTGACTTTGTCAGCAGCCACGGCTGTGAAAACAGAGAAGGTGAGCCGCCACAAGCCAACAAATACATTTTTTTATTAGCAAAGAATTTTCATTTTAAGCCGTTCAGAAATATGTGATGCGTAAAATTCAGTCTAGCCCATCATGTCATGCGGTACCACAATATAACACCAGAATTTTCCCAATTTGTCTGGCAAACTGAATCATTATTTGGTTTGAGTTCTTATGGCACTCACAAAACCTGCCTGCTGACTACTAAATATTTTTTTTTTGCACTTAAATAATCCACTTTATATAATTA